GGTGGTCGGGTGTCTCCAGTGGCTACGCGTTTCGAGGAATCCCTCTTTATCAAGCCTCAAAGATGCTCTCTTTGCATCTTTGAGGCTTGATAAAGAGGGATTCCTCGAAACGCGTAGCCACTGGAGACATCCGATGGTACCATCGTACCATCGGGGACACTCTTGCGACCCGGTACCTCTCGGAGGAGGGCGCCACACAGACCACGGGGGAGCCTCGAACCGTAAGTCCCTTTGTCCACTACTAACAGTGTCACGCATTTTTCATATACAAAGATCCATTTACAAGTTGTACTTCATATACCTATCTACTTCCGTTTTGGTAGTCGAGCTCCTGTCCTGCTTTGTCCATAACCTATGAAAATGATAACTGAAGCTCTTCTCCTATCTGCTAACATTTATTTCTCTGGTTTTACTGTTCGGTGGGCCTCATGTGTCAACATGTTCTTACCAGAAACTGGAATTACTGCTTAGCCACCAATCAACTTCAAAAATATACCTTGAAAGAATTTCCTTGAAGGCTGTGGGAAATAATTCTTAGTTATGAACATATTGATATATAACGTCCTATTTTCCCCTTTCCAATTCCTTTTTTTTTAAATTGTAAAAATGTGATCAGACCTTTTTTCAATAATTTCTAAAAATAAAAATTGAGTGTACCGAAAATATAAAATAACGATGCCAGTAATGTGTTAGTGTGCATATATAATATTACTAGATAAATGACAAATGTGCAGGCAACTACAGGTCCTTCCACCCTTGTTCAGACACAGAGAAGAAAGAAAAGATCTACACAGTGCTGCACTCCCCTGTATAAGTTTACTGTGGAATTTATTTCAAGCACGATCCAGCGCCACCTTATGGCATATGTTGGCTTTTTACGTAGCTTATTCCTCAGTTACTGTAAACCTGTGCCCAGATCCTACACACTAAAGTATTTAAATATTCTGAAGCAGGAAAAACCCTTTATTCACCACTGTATCTATAGGCATTGTGGAGAAACTGTTTTTCAAAATTCACAACACAATTCTTTTCTCTGCAGATTAGAATCATGGCAGCTTGCCAAACTTTTAATGTAAATAAACTGTAGATATTTCTAAAGCTGGTGTCAAACAAGCAATTCTGCCACTAGAGACAAATCACCAGCGACAGGATCACTAAAGAGGCTGCCTGTCTGCTCCTATTACAATGCTCCCTCTGTAATCAAATGCAGGTAGATGTTTCTCTGGCGACAGCTCACTGCCTCAGCTACAGAGTTAAGGTGCCCATACACCTTACAATTATCTGCAGATTTTCTTTGGCCAGATGGAAAAGGTGCAACAGATTGGCCCAGGTATAGATTACTTCATCCACACAGTTAAGTGTAGATGGAGGAATCTGTTGCACCTTTTCCATCTGACCATAGAAAATCTGCAGATAATTGTAAGGTGTATAGCCAGCTTAAGCGATTCCATAGGGACAAACAGGCAGCCCCTTATTATCGATCCTGCTGCTGGCAATTTTGACAAAACACCTGTAGCAGGATCATTAGTCGCCTGTCAGCCTAAGCTGTTGGAAGTGTCTGAAATCTGACTGGATCCACGAGTTTTCATGCACCGCATATGAATGGTTACTGAGACCTGCCCTTGGCAACTGGCCTAGCTACATTTGGGAAATAGCAGACTCTTCTCACACCTCCCTAGATGCTGAGCACACATTTTGAGAATACATACAATGAAAACTTGTGTAAGTGCACATTAAAAAAATGCACAAATAAAGCAAGAAAGGGAAAGCCAGCCTAAAAGCACAGAGAGGCTTGTTTCAAAGCTCTTTCACTGCTTGTTCATAATATACAAATGGTTAATGTTCATAATGTGGACACAGGTTCACTTTATGGACAGAGCAATGCGGCAGTATACAGATTCACCTCTATTCACTATTATATTACAAGAATACTGAATACATCTTCATAACCATCAGTACTCCCACATGATATTTGGACCTAATAGGGTCACTTTCCCTTAATTGTTCTAATCAACTTATTAAAAGTAGCTTGTTCTGTCACCCTCAATGTATTTTCTGTATTGAGTAACCTTGAACAGCCAATCACATGGATTGCAAAACAAAAAAAAACATTTCACAAAGCTAACACAACAGGACAAGGATCCTTATTTTAAAAAAAGTAAAATTAGTCAAATGAATTATAAAATACAGTCAAACAGCTAAAAGATCCTTATCCTTGTGTTTAAGTTTTGTGAATTGAGCCTGTGGTCTGTTATGAGTGAGCCGGTGGCAGCTGACCTCTTTTGCCATTTGTTCATTGTTAAAGCCCAACTCTATCCATAACAATTTACTTTGATTTGGATAGAATGGGAAAAGGTTAGAGAATCTATTAGGTTTTCCTGGCTAATAGATAGGAGTTGGGCTGGGGGCCTCCAACCAGCAGAAGAATCATGTAGGTACGAGTCTCACAAGTGAGATGTATATCCCTGTGATGCTGGGAGGGGAGGTAGCTAGCACATCATACAAATATGGCAAAAGTTTTTGCAGTCCTTTCCTTTTAGAAAACATTCACAAAATTGAGGCCTAAACCTGAGTTAGTCAGTATGTGCCTAATAAATGTCTATAGATTTTTTTAAAGCCCCACTAAAGGCAAAATATGATCCCCCACCACTACCCCCTAACACATCCTGCAAGGCTTGCATTTTTGCTTAGTTATACTCACCTACACCCCCCCACCAAGTCCTTTACTGGTACTGCTCTGAGTTTGAGGAACCACCAATCCAGTGCTACAGATAGTCCCTTGCTGGCCAGTCCTCTCCTGTCCTGTTGCAAAGATGCTGGCAGTAAAACCCCACCACTGCACAGCCAATAGAAAATGTCCACGTGATGTGGACACCACACAAGAGAGGACACCACCAAAAGTAAGCAAAGGGAGAGAGAAGACTTGGTAATGGAGCATCACATGACCATGGCTTTTGCTAAGTAAAATGAGCATGTAGATAGGTTTTTTTTTTGTTTTTTTTACTGCCAGCAATCAGTTAGAAGGGGGTGAGAGGTGGAAGGGAGGGTTAGTTTTATCCCAGAGATGGGCTTTAAACATTTATCTCATCATTTATTATTTGAAGAATAGCTAAACCTTCTTCTCCATAGAGAACCTGGTAATGCCAAGGCTGCCAAAAATGCAGACTCCCTGTGCAAATATGTCTTAAAAGGGTAAGTTACTTTCCCAAGTAAATTTAGGAAAATGGAGTTACCCTACTCAAATCTGGCCCCCTGTTCCCCCGGCTATACTTGCCTTTCAGCGAACGCTCCTTCCTCTCTGCTGGTATCGGTTTACTATCCGTACCCTGTACTGCCATGTAACCCAGTCCTGTGCTATGGGTTTCGAATTTTGCTCGCACATGGCAAGCACTCATTGGTCATCATGGTCAGATGCACTTGTCATTGGTCAGCACGGTCAGGTACCGACAGAGGGGAAGGAGCATTCACCAAAAGGTAAGTATAGTGGGAAAGGGGGTGGGGCACATTCAAGTACGTAATTCCATTTTCCCATATTCACTCAGGGAAGTGAACTTACCATTTAAGATAAACAAGGATGCTGTCATTGCTGGCCTACTTCTAAAAATGCCAGCTGAAAGGTTGACTCTGCTTTTACTGCTTCAAGACATGACACGGGCCTGGAACAAGCACACAGATCAGAAAATTCATAAAACCTAATTTGCATACTCGTTTCAAGGCAGTAACTCAGAAAGCATTGGGGCCACTGGATCTGCATGGCAGCCAGGGAACTAGTATATTCAGTGTCCATGCGTCGTCAGTAAAAGTTTCCTTGAACGAACCTACATCACATTATAGTCATAAACAGCTAAGTACATTGAACCAATATTGCCAATTTTTTTTGTAGTCATTACAATTGTAGAAAACCGTTGTACAAAATGAAGGCCTCCAGCTGAGGCAGCCAGTTTGTAGAATACTAATATTTATAATTGTCAAACCCAAGTCTTTCCTTGCAAATCCCCTTTTACATACAGAATCTGTTTATGCTAAGGCTTCAAAAAATAACAGACACTCTACAAAAATAGAATTCTTACTGTAACGATATTTCAAGCAGACAGATATATTTTGGTTTCTGCTCTGGCATCTGCACCTCATTTTGGCCAATGGCCTCTAAAGTTCCTTCCTGAAGTATTATTGCATTCTGTTATAAAAAATGCAAAATTGGAGTGGCCTGGTTTTCATTGCAGCAATTAAAGATATATTCTTAGCCATTTCATAAAAAATGTTCCATTGTATCAAAACAACTCATTTAATTTGCTCAAGCATATTTGTTTGTATGGACGATTCTTTGTACAAATTCATATGGAAATGTAAACACTGTAAATGTTTTGTATAGTTTGTTTTCATTTATACTCAGGGAAATTAAATGCTAAAAAAAGATGATTTTTTTTTTTTAAGTTTCCGTTTGTTACTACAGGTTGCAACAACAACTTTGTGTCATAGGTGCCCCCTAGTGTTTGCTGAATAAGGATCATCATTAGGGAAACTGGAGATTTCAAATTTCAGGGTCAAAAAACACTTGTGTAATTTTTTTAATTATGATGCATGTCACGCGTTTAGAATATGGTGGTGAGTCGCAAAGCATGCAGCTTAGTTTAACTATAAGAATTCCAGATGAGGAAAAGCTTCATCAATAATTGCCACTGTATATCTACAAAATGTTGGTTTTGTATTTATCAATAATTTTGCACAATATTCACCCAAGATTTCCCCAAAATTTGATGGTATCAAGCCAAATTAGCAGAATTATATGATTCACACATTAAAAATTATTTTCCCTGACATTTAACATTTATTTTTCAATAGGAAAATATATTTATTGTACAACCCCAATTCCAAAAAAGTTGGGATGCTTTGTAAAATCTACATAAAACAGAATGCAATGATTTGCAAATCCCATAAACCCATATTTTATTCACCGTAGAAAATAGAAAATACATCAAATGTTTAAACTGAGTACATTTATTATTTTCAGAAAAAAAATAAGGTATTTTTGAAATTGATGGCAACAAGACTTCTCCAAAAAATTGTGACAGGGCAACAAAAAGTTGTCAAAAGAAGTGGTAATAACAAGGAAGAGCTGGAAGAATATTTTCCAACTAATTAGGCTGATTGGCCACAGGTCAGTAACATGATTGGGTATAAAAAGAGCATCTTAAAGAGTCAGAGTGTCTCAGAAGATGGGCAAAGGTTCACCAATCTATGAAAAGCTGTTTCTAAAATTTTTTGAACAATTTCAGAATATTGTTCCTCAACGTAAAATTTCCAAGACTTTAAATATATCATCTACAGTACATAATATCATCAAAAGATTATAGGATTTGCAGATCATTACATTCTGTTTTTATGTACATTTTACACAGCGTTCCAACTTTCTTGGAATTGGGGTTGTAGCATCACCCTTTGTAAGAAAAGGGTGAAAGTTACT